AGCCGTAGCTCCCCCGCCCACCTGAGGGTAGATTCCGGTAGGTAAGATAAACAACACAAAACAGCTTATCAGACTGGAAAGTGCTGTACGAAAATCAAACAGGAAATGGGAGTAGGGACGACGCTGGAAGCAGCAGGGTGTCAAATATGCAAGTACAGATGGATGAGCAGGCGTGTGCTCATCCGGGGCGTGTGAAGACAGTAGAGTCCTTGCAGTGACACCATTGGGGGTGCGGTGTCTAAGCAGAGAAGCCCACAGGAACAAGGGCACTGGACAGATAGCCGACCTTCGTAGGTTAGAGTAGAGAGAGAGAGAGAGGAAAGCAGCAAATGGGATCAACGGAGGGAGAGAGGCTGGCTGGTGGGAGGCAGGCTCCCCTAACCTCTCCTAACACATCCGAGGGTTTACAGGAGCATTCTGGCTGTGCACTGGGAAGAAACGGAAGGTTGAAGAGTGGAATCATGACTGGTTTGGGGATTTCTACCAAGGCTGGGCGAGAGATGTCATGAAAAAAAAAAACAAAAAACAAAAAACAAAAAAAACAACAACGCAGAGCACAGGTCAAGGCGGTGCACACCCATAATCCCAGCACTCGGGGAGGCAGAGGTAGGAGGTTCTCTGGGAGTTTGAGGCCAGCCTGGTCTACAAAGCGAGTCCAGGACAGTCAAGGCTATGCAGAGAAACCCTGTCTCGAAAACAAAAACAAAAACAAGGGGCTGGAAAGATGGCTCAGAGGTTAAAAGCACTGGCTGCTCTGTTCAATTCCTAACAACCACATGGTGGCCCACAACCATCTATAAGGAGAACTGGTGCCCTCTTTTGCTGAGCAGGTGTACGTGCAGGCAGAACACGGTATACATGATAAAGAAATAAATCGTTAAAAAAAAACATGAAAACAAAACAAACAACAACAAAAAACGAGGGCTAAGTGGTTAGACCCTGGAAATACTTCAAAAACAGACCTGAAAAAAATGGACATAGGAGGAAAGTACTAGAAATTTACTCTACAAATTTTCTCTTGAGCAGAAAAAAAAAAAAAAATGGAGTTGACGTCAACTGGGATGTAGAGATAACTGAGGGAGTGAGAAGTGGTCAGAGACCCTCATCGCTGAGCTTGAGATGCCTCTTACATGTTTCAATGTTGTTGTCAGACAATAGGAAATCTGAATGCAGAGTTTGGGGACTATCTAGGCGAGAGAGGAATAGAAATGTCTCGTGATCTGAGACATTTTTAAGAAGGCTGATATGTTAGTTTGCCCCCCGAGGGGTTGCCCAAAATAAGGAATCAAAATGACAGGCATACACAAGAGTCTGTCTTGAAAACAAAATGAAATGACGACAGCAGCACACAGAGGAGAAATGAAAACTAATCTCTAATGAGCATCAATTCCCGATTCTAAAATAAAAATTAACACATTAAATAAACCTGGCTACAGCACAGCCTGAAGAGCTTGCTAACTAGTTTCTTTCATCAGTGCGGCCTGAGTGTCCCCATCACAGAAGCACACTGCTGGCTAGATGACCTCAGGATTACTTTTTCAGGGGAAATAAAAAAAAAAAAGAACTGCTGTCGACCTGTCCCCTCGGGCACCGTTTACCAGCTTTCCTACCTCTTCAGGAGAAGAAAGTTGGGTAATTAGGAAACTGGTGACACAGAGAATATTTTCTTTCTGTGCTTTGCCTTCCCTTAAGCTAAAGATTTCAACCAAAGAAATCACATGGCACAGTGTTAAGGTGTGTGTGTTTATGTGTAGTCTTTTAAAAAGGGATCTTATTTTTATATTTTTTAAAGGAATGCTTTCCCATTTTTAATCATTTTCATCTGCAGTTCCTTAGTCACCTAATCCTCCTCAATTATTTCCCTATACAGCTCTGTGGACTGTTTTAGTAATGTGGCCCAATTTCCCTGTAGGGCCTTTTAATTTGCACTCAGACAGTATCGTTCTGAGTTTGGGCAGCTTTTTCTTCTCTTGGTGCTCCTTCTCAGTGTGCTCCTACATCTACATGGTCCGGGCCAGAAGAGAGGGTCGGGCCTCCTGGGACTGAAGTTACAGACAATAAGGAGCTTCTGTGTGGGTGCGGGGAGCCAAACCTCAATCTTCCCAAGAACAGCAAATGCTCTTAGTTACCGAGTCATCCTCCAGCCCCCCAAACGTTCTTTGGGGGTGAGAGGTGTTTGGTTTTTTAGGTAGGGCCTTGTGTGTGCCACATGGTTGGTTTATGCAATGAAGAGGACTGACCCCAGGGGTTCGTGCATGCCAGGAGAACACTTGGCAGGAGATTACGTGGCCAACTGTGCTGCACCCCAGTCCTGAGTCAGAACTTTCCAAGACTCCCGAACATATGGGCTATTGCTGCTGCTCTTGGCTGCACACTAGAACTTAATGGTAAGCCCCCACTGTTAACACCGCACATTTTTGTCCCAGGTCATGGAGGAATCAAGCTGGTGATTACCAACCAAGTTTCTTCCTGGATGATTAGCTATTATAGCACTTGAAGGTGTTAAGAAGGCTGCCGAGGGGGGAAAAAGTCATCATCAGTCTTACCTAGCTATGAACCCTGTGCACTTCAATAGTGACTGGCATGGCAAGAGATGCCAGTGAGTACAACAGTGGCATAAATGTTATGGGGATAAACTAACTATTTTGTGATACATTTAAGGCCTGAAAAAGAAGAAATGCGTATCTGTTATCGTAAACCTAGCTAAGAACCCCCAACGGAGTAGTTCATAGACCTCAGGGTTGAACCTACTATTATTCTGCTAAATGGACATAGAATCAAGTTGCCCTCTGAACTTGTTCCTCCATGCCCATAGAGTAGTGTGGCTCTCAGAACCCTTTAGAGAAGTTCATTTATGCAGTGGGAGGTAGTTAATAAAGGAACTCACAACTGGTCAAAGCGCAGAGAATGAGTGTCAGTGGAGTGCTTGCTCATCTACAAATGGACATCTATCCCTTCCAGCCTCCCACAGGCTCAGAGAACATCAAGAAAAAGGGGTGGAAAGACTTAGGGGCCACGGGTCCGGGGGGCTGGAGCGAAACAGTAACTTCGGAGCAAGTAAGAACCAATGCACTCAAGAACTCCCAGCAGCTGTGGACGCTTGCGCATGATCAAGCCAGTTATTCTAGCACGGAGGGCTCGGGGGCTCGGGGGCCCTTCACCCTCACGGTGTCGCTTTGGACAACTGATGGCTCCTGGAGGAAAGGGAGTCCGTTTTCTTTAAGGGTGTGGCCCTACAGGGTTACCCACACTTCAGTAGGTAGCCTCACACCCCGGAGAACTTAGGCAGTACAAATTAAACTTGACAGGTTATTAAAAATAAAAATAAATATAAGACATGAAATTGGGGTGGGGATGAATCTGGGAGGAGTTAGGGAAAGGAGTAAGAAGTGAAAAGTCAAAACACATTGTATGAAATTCTCAAGGAATTAATAAAAATTGTCTACTCAAAATACCTTCCTAAGTTAAAAACACAGCACAATATTGTATTAAATAAACTGTGTTTTCTTGCTGGACGTGGTGGCACAAGCCTTTAATACCCAGCATTCGGGAGGCAGAAGCATGCAGATCTCTGAGTCTGAGGCTAGCCTGGTCTACAGAGAGAGTTCCAGGGCAGCCAGGGCAACACAGAGAAACCCTATCTTGAAAAATAAAACAAAAATTTGTGTTTTGTTTTCTTTTCCGTGTTTATTTAGTAACTAGAAAACTGGATAGAAGCCTGGTAAAAGCACCAAGAAAGACAATTTTATAATTATTACAGAGTGAAAACAATCTAGAATTTTGGTAGTGTTTTGATTTAAATATATCCTTCTAAAGTTCATGTGTGGAACATGGCTATACTCTGAGTGTTCAGGAGACTGAGGCAGGAGGATTACTCCAAGATTGAGGCTAGCCTGGGCTACATATAGAGAACTAGGCCAGCTGAGACAGTATGTAATAAGAAACTGTCTTAAAACAACAACAAAAGGTCCATATTTTTAGTTCAGGGATAGAGAGCTTGCCTTGCATGTGTGTCCTGAATTAATTTCTTAGCACTACCAAGTAAAAAAGAAGTGAGTGTGTTATAAGCTTAATCCCCAAGCTAATATGGCAACAATATTAGGTGGGTGGGGCCTTCAGGAGGGAATCAGGATGGATGAGGTCATCAAGCGGCATCTCCATCGTGTCCTCTCTCCATGTGGGCCCTGTGCCATGCTCGCCTGCAGCAAGGCCCTCCCAGGAGCCGAACAGACCCCAGCCTGTGCCAGTGGACCCCGGCCTCCAGAACCACGAGCTAAATAATCCCTATTTTTTTAGTTAACTAACTATCCACTCTGTGCTATTCAGCAACAGCAAACAGCCCAGGATAGAAAGTAAACCTTTGCCAGGTTGTGCATAGCTTCTTTGGGAAATTCTTCTGGCTAACCGGAAGGCACTATCAGACTACGGGAGTGAAAGAATGCAGGCAATTGTTTCATTTAAAGGAATTTAAGTCTGGAACATCATATCACTGTCAAGATATTATGTAAACACTAAGAATGCTTCACTGCTGACACAGAATGTCTTTCTTCATGTGATGGTAACCAATGGTTACTAAGACAACAGAGAAGAAGGTTCTTGGAGTAGCATCCGCTTGAAGAGGCCAGCGATTTCCAGGAGACAACGGGCTTGCGAGGCTTGACTCTCAGTCGGCTGAGAGCAGTGTGAGCAGGGCGTGTCACGTGACATTACCCACTCAGTAATCAGGGCAAGGAAGGAAGCAGGCAGAGAGAAGGTGACTTTATAATTTCAAATCACAGCATCAAAATAACACAGTTTTTAGAAGAAAGAGAAAAATGATTAAAATTTTGCTAACAAAACCAAAAGCACAGATGATGCGGAAGCAGGTGGGATGGATGGCAGCAGAAACCTGTGTTACAGCCTATTGTGCATGAAATAAAAAGGAAAGAGTCGTCAAGCTTGTATTTTTAAGATTACTTAAAAGACAAAACACTAACAGGGGAAAGAAAATCTGTTCCTCTTCAAATTCTTCCCCTCACAATCGCCATCTCCACCCTAAAATTAAAAACCAAGCCAGTAAGAACCAGGGATGAGAACTATAAATACCTGCTGTCAAAGCCGTGGCTGTACTAACGCTACGTTACAGGGGGCCCGCTGAACGGTAGCGCTGCTCAGTTTAAGTCCCGTCCTTTAGGCCAGACTACAGGATAGGACTCAAGGACTGGTCAGCATGTGCAGTGTGGAACCAACCAACACCTGCTCAGGCTTATTTTCTTTGCTTGGGAATCTTCGGCACCTAGACATTGGGAGAATCTGTGTTACAGATTCCCACCATTAGGATGCTCAGTATTATGTATTTACACTGGAATTCTATCGCATGTTTACATTGGGACTCTCTGTATTATATATTTACACTGGAATTCTCTGTATTACATATTTACACTGGAATTCTCTGTATTACATATTTACATTGGGACTCTTTGTATTATATATTTACACTGGGGTTCTCTGTGTTACATATTTAATAACTTTCCCTTCTATAATTATAAAGCCCTGAGCCAAACCTAGGAATGAGCACTAACCAACATGCTGGAAATAACAGATGATTAAACAAAATCACATGACTTGATGTGAAATGTAGTTCTATTAACAGGCATATGTGAACTTAATGTTCAAATTAAGAAAACAGGAACAATATTATAAACTTAAAAGCAAAAATAGGAAACTACACCCAGTTACCCAGGCTTCAATGCTAGTCAGCATTTCTGTGCATAACATTAACAAAAAGAAAGGGCTGCTCCAACCACACAGGATCCTGGGATTCCCAGAATTTTCATGGGCCACACTTTCTATTCTACGGTCAACCAGAACGGGGAGTGGTGAGTCACGGCTAAGGGAACTCAGGCTGAGATAAGATACTTGCACTTTGCCTCAGGGACTGCTTCTACAGGCACTGGCAGACTGGTGGCAAAGGACTCTTCCTCCTCACACACAGGTACTTACTTGTGGGCTCTTTTCTCTCTTTCCCAGGACACTCATGCACAGTCATGTAGGGTTCTTTCTGGTCAGCTCCTTCAGTGTGCATCTACATAATGTCAATGAATTGCTAAGACCCCTGAAAGAGTTTAATATACATCTAGGAAGTGCTTGGATCTGATGAAGTAATTAAAAAACCACGGCAATGGAAGAGTTAAGACTAGAGCAAATATGTTGCTTTTCCCTGTCTTCTGGTTTTCGTTTGTCTGGGATGCTGGAGACCAGCCCATGCTGGACAAGCACTTGGTGCCACAGTCCCAGCTCCTCGCCCATGTTTTGAAAAGTATGTTATACTCAGACTATAAAACAAACTACAGACTGAAAATTCAGAAGACAAGATTTTGAGATAGGGTCTCACTATGAAGCTCTGGCTGAACTGGAACTCTCTTTGTAGACCAGGCCATCCTCAAACACATAATGATCCTCCTGCCTCTGCCTCTCAAGTGCCAGGATTAGAGGCCTGTGAAACCATGTGTGGCTAAGGAAATTTTACACAAAATAATTTACATGGGTTTATTTTGTGGGTGCATGGATGTGTGTTTCACAGTGCTCACGTTGGGGTCAGGAACCAACTTGGGGGGCCTGGTTCTTTCTTGGACCTCAGGTCTTCAGACCTGGCAGCAAGCAACTTTACTCACCAAATTCTCACAGGCTCAGAAATGTTCTCAGTGTTGACCTGAACTCACTGAAATGTGTTCAGACTAGCGTTGTTTGAATCTCAGCTGTGCACTAGAGCTTCTGAACGGTGTGCACATATACACTGAGGAACACTGACAGCTCCTGACTGCTTCTACTAACTGCAGCTGGATTCAGTTCCTCTTTTCAAGGCCACCTTTTCAGGAATTCCACACCTTGTAAACATTGGTGAGAGCTGCTGTGATTCATTTTCCCCCTGCATGTATAAGTGGTTTGGGTCTCTGGGCCTCTCAGGAAATAGCAGGATGAACTGTAGTGGACTATCACAGCTCTTTCGACCCCCGGGGCCGTAACTCACCCAGTGAGTCAACATATTTGCAAATGGTATGCTATACAGGTTTCTGCTTCTGCATACATCTCTTAAATGCACAAGCTTAAAGGATCTTGTGACTTAAAATGAACTAAAAGATGGTCATTAGTGGCTTTCCTGTTCAATAAGAGCTCTGGTTCTGCCAAGTAGATTGTGGCATACATAAGTCGTCCTGGGACTTTCAAGACAAAGCTATAGCTCTAGATGGAATTGAGATGCCTTCCTGTAGGGTTTCTGAAAAATCTATACATATATGTATGTCTATATAATAATGTACATATAAAGGTATATATAGAGAGATGTACGTGTGTGTGTGTGTGTGTGTGTGTGTGTGTGTGTGTGTGTGTGTTTTGTTTTGTTTTTGCTTTTGTTTTTTCTGAGACAAAGTCTCATAGCCCAGGATGGCCTCAAAGTCATTAAAGATGACTTTTAACTTCTGATCTTTCTGCCTCTACTTCCCAAGTGCTGGGATTAGAGATCTGTATCCATGGTTTATCGGGGTTGTGGCCTTGTGTGTGCTAGGCCAGCACACTACCAACGAAGCTATACCACCCCCAGCCATATTTTTAATTTGCTCAATTGTCTTTAATAAAGTAGGAATAACTTCATCATGAATATTGTAGATTTCCTTTGTAATGAGGATAATAAAATTGATAAAGTATACACAGAGATGAGCTCACTAGGGACTCCAAGGCCAAGGCCACATGTATGCTGGGACTCAGTGTCAGTCAGTTCAGTCTCCTTCTCTTAGGAGAAGGCGTTCAAATGGATGCTGATGACTGCCAGATTTCTGACTCAAATCCAAGAATCGCTGTGGTGGGTGGGTTAGACCTGACAGCGATCTTTTTGAAAACAGGACAACAGTTAGGGAACAGTGATGGAGAGTAAACTGGAAGGAAACAGAAGGGAAGAAGCCAAAGGCCAACATGGCTGTGCTGTGCCCAGGGCGGTCAGCTACTACCTGTTCCCACGGTGTGGGTCACCTCAATGCTGGATGATGATACAACTACTCTTTAGTCCCGGACACTGTGCATTCTAATCGTTAAAAATTCAAATGAGGGCTGGTGTTTACTACTCTGAAAACTAACGTCTAGAAGCTTCCAGTAGTTGGTTATAAGGACATAAATAGCTGGGTTTGGTGTTATACACCTTGAATCCCAGCACTGGGGAGGCAGAAGCATCTGCCTCTGTCACAGAAGATCTCTGTGAGTCCCAGGACAATCAGAGCTACACAGTGAGACCCTGTGTCAAAAAGCCAAAAAAAAAATACAGAAATAAAAAAAATGAAAACAGAGCTGTTTCTAGAGTTTAAAGACTATAAAAGTTTTAATTTGTATAAAACTTTCCAATATTAACTACATTAAAACACTGAGTAAAAGACAAAACAGAGTTCTCTAAAGAATAGAAAAAGTTTACCTCTTGTTTTTCCTCATTTGTGTCCACACTAAGTAACGTTGGTATTTTAGATGATTCTGTTTTCTTTGATTCTCTCTTCATCACTTTTATCTGTTTACCTTTTGGAAGAAAATAAAAAGCGATTTGTTGGCCCCGCCTTGAAATTATACTTTCCTCTCAACAAGTTCAGCTCCGTATTCCAGTAGCCACTATGCCCAATTTTGAAGTTAGCTGCAAATGAACTGAGAAGCTGAGTTGTGAGATATGGTCTGATCTCACAAAGGCACGCCTTCTATTTGTACTGAGTGACTCACAAGGCCTCTGTTTTCCAAGGGAAGGAAAGAACTTTTGCTCACACCAGTAAGTTCCATTTTCAAATAAATATGTTTACTTTTATTCCAATATATTTATTCATTTGTTTATCGGTGTGGGCCAGTCCTCTTCTACAGTGTGAGTCCCATGATCAAACTCAGGTCATCAAATGCCTTTACTTGCTAAGGTATCTCACCAGCCCTTCATATAAAGCTTCAGGTTACGATAAATTCTAAGTTTATAAAATCTACCAGATCCCAGGGTGCCCAAAGCATCTCTAACACTGTTAGGCAAATAAATGACCAGGAAAGGTGTATAACCCCAGGTTATATACTACACTAAATTCATCTTCCTCAAATTCTGGCCCAGTATCTCAACATTAAGCTAATAAAATGTTTACCTTTGAAGCTGTCTTTACCTACAAAATTATCTCTATTAATTAATTCCTGACCCTTGCTGGCCATAGTGGAGTATACTTTCAGTCCCAGCGCTCTGTCAGGAAGCAGAGGCAGGCAGATCTCTGTGAGTTCAGGCCAGCCTGGCCTACAGAGTGAGTCCAGGACAGCCAGAGTTACATGGTAGACCCTGACTAAACAAAATCAAAGTCTGGCCCTTTACTTAGCTGCAGAAGAAAAAACATCTTATCAATGAAACTTGTTCAAAGCAATAGACCACGTCCCACAAGGACCACGTGTAAGTTGTCTCACAAGAAGCCCATCGGTTACAGGCGTCATCCGCAGAGCTCTGCGGAGCTGTGCACCACGAGGCACCCACCTTCCATTCCTTTTATCTCCTTTGACTGGATTGTGAACGGCAGTTCAGGAAAATGGAACTCTTTCCTGTTGTTCCTGGGGAAAGTCAGCTTTCTTTTGCTCCCACTTGCCATTTGGTCGCTCTGACCTGTTCGATCACTAAATACACCTTTCTCCATTTGGATCTAGACAAACAAGCACCCATTAGCACGAAGAACTGCGGGAAGCTAACTGTAGAATCTCAAGCGTAGAAGCGCTGGCCTTTTGGATCATGCAAACCAGTTCTGGCGGTTATCTTAATAGTTAAGAAGCAGAATGGAACCAGGTATGGTGGACATGCCTGTAGGCCCAGCACCCGGGAGACAGGCAAAAGGATCTCCAGTTCAAGGCCAGCCTAGGATCCATAGTGAGACCTTCAGAAAGCAAAAGCAAAAACAAACATACAAACCGAAATAAAAAAGCAACACTAAACCCAGAAGCAGGCCAGGGAAGTTTGCCAAGCAAGATTTTTAAGCCACTTACAGTTCTTGATTTTAAGAACCACAATCTTGACTTGTTTTTTTGTTTTAATTTTTGGGTTTTTTATGTTTGTTTTTTTTGCAAGGCAAGGTTTCTCCGTATAACAGCCCTGGTTGTCTTGGAACTCACTGTTGGCCGAGCTGACCTCAAACTAAGAGAAATCCTTCTGCCTCTGCCTCCGGAGCGCTGGGATCAAAGATGTGCACCAGCTCCACTTGGATGTTTTCATTTTTATGTTATTATAAATAATGTTGTGCCTTGAATGTAATGACAAGCAAAAAAAGAAAGACACGGCTAGCATTTCCAGAGCAAGAAAACTACATCTATTTGGCAAGTGTTTTTAATCCATAAAGATATTTCTGGAAGAGAAAAACACAAATCTTGTGATTTGTAAAGGTGGAAGTAAGCATTTGATATAAAGAAATAAGGGGGGACTACAGACAGTTACTGCTCTTGCAAAGGCACTGGGTTCAGTTCGCAGCATCCACATGATGGCTCACAGCCAGGGAATCCAATAACCTCTTTTGGTTCCCACAGGCACCGGTAGGTAATTACATATAAATAAAATAAAGCTAAAATAAATTTTAAAAATAATAAAAAGATAAACGAAAAGATGAAGCCTGAGGGAAAACATGGTCTATTTTCAGAAAGAAAAGAGGGGCTGGTGAATCAATTCTTGGCAGGCACGTGCTTAGCACGTGCAAAGCCTTGGACTTGTCCCAGCACGAGAAAAGAAAGATGGTAGGAGGGAGGAAATTTCTCTTTAAGATTTATTTATTTTATGTGCATTAGTGTTTTGCCCACACATATGTCTGTGTGAGGGTGACAAATCCCTTGGAACCAGAGTTACAGACAACTGGAGTTACAGACAATCTTGAGTTGCCATGTGGGTGCTGGGAATTGAACCTGGATCCTCTGGAAGATTAGATAGTGCTCTGAACTGCTGAGCCATTTCTGCAGCCCTGGGAGGGAATTTTTTAATGAGAGGGAAAAGAAAGGAGGTAATGTTTAAAGGGGTTATATTTTAATGAATTAATTTCTCCACTCCATGTATGTGTGTTCACATTCTTATGTCCATACATGTGTGTGAGGTGTACATGCACACGAGCGTGGAAGCCAGGGGTTCCATCGGGTGTCTTTCTGGATAGCTCTCCACCTTATTTTTGATGACAGGGTTTCTTGTTCCACCTGGAGCTTGCTGATTTGGCTAGACTGGGATGCAGCCAAGCTCTCTGTGACCGGTAGTGTTAGGGCAAGGGGCCTGTAGGACTGCGCCCAGCTTTTTCCATGTGTACTGTGGATCTGGACTCTGACCCTCATGCTCGCTCACCTAGCGCTTCACTGACTGAGACACTTCCCCAGCCAAGAGTTCGCGTTTTAACGACTAGCATCTTGTCTTACTTGTGTGGCACCTGAGTCCTCTTGTCTGCTGTTAGACAGAGTTTGTCCAATAGTTTGTGAAGAAGTGCGTCTCCTTTTTGCTCTTTCAGTTAACCTACTAATTAAAAGTAAATGAGAGGTTATTAGATCCTCCCAGAAATGTGCTTGTTTTAGCTTTAAGAACAGACAAGTTTTAACAGGTGGTCCGGTCTGTAAACACCTATGACACTGGCACTCAAGTGGCTGATGGGGGGATTTTAATTTAAGGACAGCCTGAGCAACATAACCAGACCCTGGCTTATGGAAAAGGAAAGGTTCTACACCATGGTACTGTTTGAATTCCGAGTGTTAACACGTCACTCTTGGTTCTGAAGTTCTGAGAACTCCAGAGACAGGACAGCTTAGGCATGTCCAACTGCTGGGGAAGTTACTTTTGGGGCCCATTTGCTCCCCTGTATCTGTTCTCCACTTGGATCATTTAGCCTCTGGAGTTCTTAACTTTGGGCTTGCCTGACGCTGGCTTACAAGCATGGTTACTGGCAGCGTGGCTTTGGCATCACCTCAAACACTGGGGTCACTGCAGCCTGTGGCCTGATGTACCTCTGGACTGACACAGACACATCTACATCTGGCCTATGTCTACAGACCACTCGTCCTCACAGCACTGCGGGACGGGGAGGAGGCTCTGTAGGGCTTGGCTGCATCCTAAGCAGTCTGCCAGAATCCTGGGGAGGTTGCAGGCAGACCTCAGGTCTTCACCGTTCATCGCCAGTGCCCAGGCTGAGCAGACTCACGATCGGCCTCTCCATCTGCGGCAGAGGCTAAACCTAAAACTGGCCGGAATCACCGTTTCCTACCAGCATACTTTGTACTGAAAGGCTATTTGCTACGAAGGACTGATCTGGACCATTTCTCCATTGAGGGACTCTGCTGCGGGGCAGAAATGAAGCCAGCTTTGCAGTACTGAGAGCTGTGGTTCGATATGGCTCGTCCTCCAGCGGCCCACACGCTGGAAGCTTGTTCTGGGGGGGCTGGTGTTGAGAGGGGTGGAGCCTCTAAGTGGGGAGGACTCTCAGGAAGGAGGTGACTGAAGCTCAAGAATGATTGATGACTTCTTCCTTACCAGGCATTCTTGCACTTGAAGGGTGTTCCGTAAAAGAGAGTCTTTATAAAGGGCCCTGTCGCCTCCCCCGAAATCTCTCTCCCTGGTTGGCACACGTGTTACTCCAACATGTGGTCGGTTTCTTGCCTCCTCCTCTGATTCTGCTGTGACACAGCCAAGGAGCCCTCGCCAGAGCAGTGGTACCATGCTGTGATACCGTGCTGTGGTACCAGCCACTACGGCCATGGGCCAAACAGACGTCTTTTCTTTATAAAGTATCCTAGTCTCAGTTATGTTGTCATAGCAATACTAAGCAGACTAGCACATCAAGGCACATGGGTGCCAAAACTTAAGCCAAATCACCCCTTTTCTCTTCAAATAGAAAATATTTTTCTTTTAAAAATCTATTCCAGGCTCAGCAGTTGAGAGTGAGTACCGTCCAGGTGGAGGACCTGGGTTCAGTTCCTGGCACCCACACTGGGTGGCTCACAACTGCCTGTAACTCCAGCTCCAGGGGCTCTGATGCCCTGTGGCCTCCCACAGACACTGACTGAGTGTGGTGTTGCACACACACATACAGGGACGCATACGGACATAAAACAAGTCACTATTTTTAAAGCTATCCCAAAGATACCAGTGAACGCCTAAACGCCAAAGCTGCCTGCGGTGCTGCACATCTGTAATCCCATCACTGGAGGGCTGAGGCTGGCAGACCATGTGTGCGAGGCCAGCTTGGGTTACAAAGCAAGTTCCAGGCTCATCTGGGCGCTGTGGCACTCTGTTGCCAAAACTCAATCAATCAATCAATGAATACCTATACAGCTAAGAAAAAAGCTTCTCACGGAACATTCCCAAGAAACCGCTCATCGAATGCCTTGCTGCACGGTTAGAATTCCAACAGATCTTTCTGCAAGTCAGTCTACACTGACCTTCTAGAAGTCACCCTGAAATGTCATCGTACAGTAGGCCTCCTCTCGCTCCAGCTCACCGTGCATTGGAGTGGGAGGAGTTTGAGCTGAGGTGTGCAGCCATCAGATTACTGCTCGTCAGGTTGATGGGTGGCATGGTCATACACCCTCCAGGGTGGGGGTCTTCTGTGACACCAGTGGAGCTGGTGCTGGCATGGACAGGGTTTGGCAGCTCAGTGACAGAAGGCTTCCTATCCTGAGACAAGGCGTGTGTGTTACCGGCTGTGCCCTGTTGGTGGTGGTTGCCTTCGCACTCTGTCTTTTTCGGGTCTGGGACATCTCCTTTCCCTCCTTTGACTTTAATGACTCTGACTTTGGTGTCCTTGGGCCTCTTGTCTTTGTCCGTTTCCTGGAATAGGTATGTCGAGAGTCATGAGAGCGGCTGTTGTCATTACACCTAACTGTGACGCAGCAACACACACTGAAACAGAAAGCAAGGAGGGGCTCACCTTTCCACACACTGATGTGTTTCCATACAGTGTGTTGGTAAAAACTGGTTTTCTCTCATCTCTCACAGGTTCATTTTCTTTAAAATTCTCTCTTGGCTTTATGAATGAATTTAGCTTTGCTTCTTGTAATAATTTAGCTCTCAGCTCTGGTATGAATCTGATGAAGCAAGCAATATTAACCAATCATCTTTTCTATATGGTTTATTTTAATAGAACCATTCAATCAAGGATTAAAAATGATATATAATTATAACTGATACAAAGAGATGGCACTATTTGGTATGTATATGTGTGTGACAAGATATCACTGTGTAGCCCAAGTTGGTATCAAGCATAAAATCCTCCTGCCTCAGCTTCCTGGGTGCCAGGCTGACAGGCGTTCCCATATCTGGTCAAGATGGTATAAATATTCACTTAACAATAATTGTGTGCTAGCAGCAGGTCTTTCATGCGTTTTGCTGTGGAAGTCTTCCACATAAAACTTGCAAAACAGACGTACACTAGATTCCCTTTGAGGTGTGAATTTAATGAAATGTCAGGTTGGGTTTTGATACAAAAGCTGTTCCTCTCTTTAGACTGACACAGAGTCTGAGTCCCAGCAGGCCTTTGAGGTAGCTCACATCTCCCTGCAACTCCACCTCTAGGGGATCTGTCCTTGTGCTAACTCCCGCAGGCACCCACACACATGTGCGTGCACACGTAAATAAAAATAAATCATCTAAGAGCAAATGAAACAAATCCTTAAAAAGTACCGTTCTCATACTGAATATGGCCTGGTCTGAGGTAAGACTACAGTCCTGGAACGGGACTTAGGTTCGCTGTCACAACCATAGAACCTTGGGACGATGCTGGCTGCAAATACCTGCACTAAGTCTCCCCCTCGTCACAAGCCAGCCTCCCATGTACCCGATTAACCCCTGACAGTAACTCCGTCAGGTTTCTGTTAACGTGAATTTTTGGCTTGTAATATTATTCTCTCTGGTGATTCCCCTTCTGTGTGTCTGCTGTTCTGAGACCCTGGGAAGGCCACGCGTGCTCACCTCTCGATAAATCCGTCTCTAGTAAAGTAATCGTGCTGCAGAAGGTCAGTAGACGATGTCCGATCAGCAGGATCAATTTGTAGACAAGCCTAGAAAAGAAAAAAACCTAATAAAAGGTGAGCTTTTGGCTCTGCCTCTAAAATTAAGGCTTTAACCAGGTAAAAAACTCACTTGACGCATGACAAAGTAATTACCCAGAGCTAATTACCAGAGGCTGTAAACAGGCAGATTTCTAACAGTAAGTTCTGACCATTTAGATACCTAAAAAATTTACTTTTTCAACTTCTGAAAGTTACTGTTTTGTGTGACATGGGCACGTGCATGCCACAGGCACACAGGCAGGCTGGAGAGCAACTGGCTTCTCTCTTGCCGCCTTGTCCGACCTGGAGATTGAATTCGGGCCAATAGCCTGCAGAAAAGTGCCTCTACCAGCTGTCATCTCACTGGCCAGCGAAACTTTTATTACAGGTTAAAAGTTCTATGGTTCTAGCCAAAATAAAATCAGCCTGATTCTGCTGTAATTGACCGAAATTTGGGAACTAAGGGTACAGTTTAGAGGTGAAGTACCAGCCTACCACATGCGAGGCTCTGGGTTCAATCCCTAGCATCTCTCTCTCTCTCACGCACAAGTTATAATAAAAGCATAAAGTTGCATTGGGCTAATAGAAATAGTTTGGTTTGTTTTGCTCCTTCTGTCAGCCCTGTTTGGTGAAGAGCTCACGGGTGAAGTCAGAAGACAACACTGTGGAGTTGGTCCTCTCTCTCCACCTTTATGTGGGTTCCCGGGAAGAAATTTAGGACCGCAACAAGCACTTTGTCTTGCTGCCCCATCTTGCTGGCTCTTGCCTAAGACCTTACTTACATAGAAGGACCAGATTTAAAATATGAAAAGATGCCTCTGCTATCTTCAAAATGCACAGTGTGAACTAACAGTCCTCAGCTCTGCTGCCCAGCGGTGCACACAGGGTTAGAGGTGGTGTCCTTGAGGGGGGTGCCGGGTACATGGTTTGTTGTTTGGGTTTGGATTTTGTTTGTTTGTTTGTTTGTTTTTTGTTTTAGATAGTGTTTCTCTGTGTAGTCTTGGCTGTTCTGGAACTCACTCTATAGATAAGACTGGCCTCGAACTCAAGAGATCCACCAGCGTCTGCCTCCCAAGTGCTGGGATTAAACCCCCACCTGGCTGTTACATGTTTTTTTTGTTTGTTTGTTTGTTTGGTTGGTTGTTTGGTTGGTTTGTTTTATTACAATAGAAATTCACAAAGTGAAACTGAATGTGTACGTTTGTGTGGTGTATGTGTGAGCTCATGTGTGCAGCTGTGTGGAGGCCGATGCTGGTATTTCCCTCCATCACTCCCCACCTTACGTTTCTGAGATCGTTTCTCACTGAACCAGTAGCTCACCAACTCAGCACATGGCTGGCAGCAAGCCTGGGAATCCTCCTGTCCCCACCTTCTCAACACTGAGGTTGCTGGCGCACACCACTGTCCTAGCTGTTTACACAGGTTCAGGTTCCCATGTCCCCATGTCCCCATGTCCCCATGTCCCCAGGCAAACGACTGCCAGCTTAAGCCAAGAGATATTTTTTAAAAGACACTTCCTTACACTTGTTCTAAAATTTCAGAATGTTTCTTTTAAGAATTATACATGGGGACTGGAGAGACAGCTCAGTGATTAAAGGCCGGGCACGATGGTGACAGCGCAATCTTTAATCCCAGCACCCTGAAGGCAGAGGCGGTGAATAATTCTGCTGGGGACTTCAACTGCAGAAGGGGACCTGTGGTCAGCTATACATATGAAATAAAAAAAAAACAAAAAAACAAAAAAAAAAAAAACAAGCTGTCTATTAGAAACAAGGACTTGGAGCTCTGTGAGTTCAAGGCCAGGGGCCTGGTCTACAAAGCAAGTCCAGGACAGCTAAGGTTATACAAAGAAAAAGAGAGAAAGGAAGGAAAGAAAAGAAAAAAGAACTTTCCTATGATCATACAACCCTCATCTAGAAATATGTACCTTCCCTCTTCCTGGTATAGGAACCAACTGGTTAGAGAAATAAAATAAGATATGCTATCTACCTTAAATACAATTTAAAACTTAAAATAATGAATCAAGGGCTAGGGAGCTAGTTCAGTTGATAAAGTATCACGTGAGCTAGAGGACCCGAGTTCAAATGCTATCGTTGCACACGTCTGTAACCTAACACCAGTGAGGGTGACAGCAGTGGATGGAAGCTCACTGGCCAACAGCTTTCGGTTTACTGAAAGGGATATCTCCCTCTATTTTCCTTCTCTCCCTCTCTGCTTCCTCCCCATTCTGGGGATTGAACCCAGAACCGTATGCCTGTTAAGTATGCATTTGATATCACCAAGCTATAACCCAAAAAGAGATTCTGTCTAAACAGCAACAATAAAACAAGGAGAGACTCAAGAGAAGATGCCCGACATCAACTCCCAGCTTCTAGGAATACATGCATCCAAGATGCACCTACGTGCACGCATACCCAAACTATCAAGCAATACGCTTACGCAACCCCCACACACAAACCTCTTAAGATGTTTTGTTTTCTCCAAATTGAGGTGAATTTTTGGTATGTTCAAATGGCCACTGCCAACAGACGTCTCTGTTGAAAGTTAGGATGGTACAGGCAAGAACAGGTAGACCAGATGCCGGAGATGGTGATGAACACGGAAGTCCTTCACGTGTTCCTAGTCTATCCCTCAGGATCTTACATTCTAATCTCTCTCTCTCTTAATTTCTATGTAATTTATAATGTGTTAACATCACTCTGCGGGTCTTTCTGGAATCTCTCTCAAGCAACATTTTAGAACTGTACTGTTGCAGGGGAGTGCTTGCCCAGCTGTGGGGTCCATCTCTAACCCTAAGAGATGAGAAGAGCCCATGTTATCATGATTTCCATAGCTCCTTGGCCATCCTTAACATACATGAACTATATCTGCCAGCAGTCCGTTGAGCTTCGGGTATTTCTTCCTTGCGTTTTTCGGGTGCTGAACTTGCGGAAGAACCACCCCGGCAAAGATGGGGCTCTTAGAATAGATATTGTGCAGGTGCGGGGTCAGGTTGCCTGAAATGAGACAAGCGCCCGAGTCATGAAGCTGCCCTCAGTACAAGTCCCATGCCACCCGCCCTTAGCTACGGGTCTGGGGACAAGGAAGAGTACAAGTTTTCATTTTACAGTCGAGAAAAGAGCTAAATATGTCATAAAAGCAGAGGTTCTAGGCTAGAGACACAGCCCTGTAGTAGAACGCTTGTGTAGCAAGTGTGAGGCCCTCCATAAAAAAAAAAAAAAAAAAAAAGGAAGTTTTAAAAACTGAGGTCTCCTCCAGTGAGCTGGAGCAAAATACAAATACATACAGCCATAAGGGTCCTTCCCTGACCCAAACTCTAGGACATAATATAGAATTACCAACAAAACACTAACATTTGACACATTCCTTTATCGGTTTAGTTGTCAAGTGGTCATCAGCCTTACAGATCAAGACCTTACTCAAAACAGCTAAAACAGCAAAGTAACTCAGAAGCTAGAGAAGAGTATCATGAGGAGCAGTGCTTCTCAGCCTTCCTAACGTGGTGCCCTTTAACACAGTTCCTCCTGGTGTGGCGCTATGAGATCCCCAAAGGGGTCATGACCCGCAGGTTGAGAGCCGCTGGTACAGAAGAAAGACGACCAGACGGCAGCCACAGTGTGCAAAGGACTGTGAATGTGAATGGAGCTGAGTAGACTCTAGCACCTTTCACCACAGCTAGTAATGCGCCACGGAGCACATCTCTTCCTCATTTACGGCCCGGTATCCTCTGTGAAATGAGAGGGCCACTGTTGTCACTTCCAAGCTCTCTTCTAACACAGTCTCAGAACAGGACTTTTTAAAAGGCACATAAAGGAGACAGGTGCAGTGATGCACTCCTGTGATCCTGGCACTCAGGGAGGCAGAGGCAGGCGGATCTCTGTGAGTTCGAGGCCAGCCTGGTCTACAAAGAGAGTCCAGGACAGCCAAGGCTATACAGAGAAACCCTGTCTCGAAAAATTCAAGAAAAATAAAAATAAAAAAGGCACATAAAGGGCTGGGGAGATGGTTCAGGGGGTAAGAACACTTGCTGTTGTTGCAGAGGATCCAGGTTCAAATCCCAGCACCCACACGATGGCTCACTCCAGTGCGGGGGTGAGGGTGGGGGCTTTGACACCTTTTTCTGTTACACACACTTGTGGTGCGCAGACAAAATACCCATACATATAAGTTAAAATAAACTTTTTTTAAAAGGCATATAGAGTATGGTGCTTCAAAGCTCTGACTTTTATTAATCTTAAATCCTCTTTAATCAATGTTAATCCAGGTTTTACTGCTTTAATGACTGTTCATAGTACCCTCTTCCTCAGGATCCTGCAGTTACATGTTTATGGAGAGTTCCCCAGCACGCTTGAGGCTCCTCAAGCCCCTCCTTCAGATTGAATACCTTGTGTAAGGCTAACAGGCAAAATGATCAGGAGGTTGTGGTGATCAGTGTTGGTGGTCAGCCACTGGGAGGTAGCCTCTGGGAGTGCCCTGGGGAAATGACCTTGATTGCATTATTTGGCCTCCTACAGTGGATGGCACTACTCAGTGGCTGGCTCCAGGACTGCAAACATGGAGGAAGGGAGCCCAGCAACGGA